CTCTGGGCTTTACACAGACACGGATCCAACTAGAGGGGGAAGGCAGGACCTGCGGACATGATCTGTCTGCTGCATTCACTCACACTCTTCCTCCTGCACCAGCTACCCCAAGACCGGACCGGAGACACGCATCATACGGGACAAGACCTCCTGGATGGGTTTTTTTTCCAAAAGAGAAGCAGGTGACCTGTGTGGGAACATTTGAATGACGTACTTTTTTTTCTGGAATAAAAAAATGTATTCAGGACAGAATTCACAATGAATTGAAAAAAGCACACCTTCCTGTTGATAATTTATTTTTTTTTATCATTTATAGTCAAATTTAAATCCATTAATTGTACAAGTTTATTGTTTTGACACAAGGCGTAAAAACTACGTGAGCAAGTTCACATGAAGATCGATTGTTTATCTTTGAGTTTACATAAAGTATAAATCTATGGGAGCATTTCTTTAAACCTTGTTTTACTGCTAATGAAGTCGTATTGCCTCCTCTGTTCATTCATCTATACGCGGTGTCTGGAAACAACTCGTGAACACATTTCCATAGAAGTTGGTGGCGAGCTCAGGACCAGTTGATTAGTTTTCTTAGTGATCTGGATCTGAGATTTCCACTATTAGATGATTATTGCCCCCCCCCACACACACATATTGGATATAAAGATTTAATTCCAAATCCAATCCAAACCCTAACGGTACCCTCGCAGGGGGGGTCAGGAAATCGATTTCACCTCGCATTTAAGAAAGGGAGAATGTTCGGCGTCCTTGAAGGGGGCTTCCTTCTAGTTTCCGCTCATATTTTTTTGATGACACCCGGACAGAATTCGACTGAGCTCAACTCTTCATTGTGTGGTAGCTACAACACTGCATTTTGTCATCTGCCTCCTCGCCGTCTCCACCCTCCTCCCCCTTTCCCGGGGCAAACGGCGTAAGAAATGAGTCGTGGCTGGTGGATATACTTCCGCGTCCCTGCTTTAACCAGTGTTGTTTCGGCAACTCTGAAATTGTGCCATGGTCTACAGGCCTTTGTTGTAAATCACTATCTCCCACTGTCAGACTGCAGTCTGCTGTACTCTGTGGATGCCTGGCTTTCTGCTGCCTCCTGGGTGACTAATATATCTTGTTAAATTGTGCTGAGAAGCGTGCGGAGAACTGTACACCTTCCCTCTTTGCACCGCATTTGTTTGCTTGCATTTGTGCTTGTGTGTGCTACTTCAAGTTGTGTGTCAGTCTGTGTGTGTGTGTGTGTGTGTATGCGTTTCGTGACTGAATAGGTAAGGGAGGGGATGTTACTTTTTTTTTGCAAATATGTTCACTAAACTCTGAGTCTGTCGAGGCTTTGTTGGTAATTCGGTTAGATTGCTATTCGGCCAGCTTCCGCTCGCCACCACCAGTAGCGGGAGGGGAGTTGTGAAGCTATCTCTCAGCGACTTCGTAATTAGAAAAGCTGTGGAGCCAAGCCACAGTTTGAGGGGGAAGAGGGAGAAGAAGAAAAAAAAAAGGCTGTTGGCAGACTGCATTATTCAACATTGGCAGCAATTTACTCTGTCTCCCACCCCAAAGACATGAATCTAAGTGATTTCATAGTCAAGTGTGCCATACTGTATAAAAGCTGGACTCTTCTCTGCAGCTCTTAAGCCATGCACTGTGTGCTATCAGCTTCATCCAGCGCTACATACATTCACACCACATCTCTGTCCTGCCACTTTGGAAATAGATCTGTGAGTATATTTCTGTGGAATTGGTCTTCTGCTGCACAAAGCAGGGTAGAGATAATTACCCATTGTTAAGGGAGGTGTAAATTGTCTGATCCATGTGTATTTATCCTCTGAGAGCCCGAGAAAGCAAAGCGGGCCTATTTTTTTGTGGGATTTGGGCAGACTCCACGGTGACGCTCTGCTCTCCTGGGCCGCCGTCTCAAATCCCTTTTGCTAAAACCCAAGAAACCGGCTAAACCGCATCCCGTCTAATTGTAAGGTGTTTTGTTTTTATAGTCGTCGCAAATTCAATCTGAGATTACGGTCGACCTTCATAGAGAAGGTTGACGACGCCGGCCTCCTGCCAATCGTAGATTTAACTAGAAGCAGACGTCAAGGTTCCCGCCTGTTGGTAGGTGAGAAATACGTCTTTTTCTTAGTTTGTTTTTTTGTGTAATTGCGGTTGTGACTGCTCCGTAAATAGGCGTCTCTGAAGGGAATCTGTCTCATTAGTAAGGAGCCGTTATTAAGTTGCCATTGTGCCTGCTGGAAACTTGCTCTATAATGGTCACAAGACGCCTCAGGAAAATGAAAGATAATGTGACTGTGGTGGGGGGGAGGGGAGTCAAATCTGCTGTTCTTCACAGGGTGGCTAACCAAAGTCGTTCCTGTACAGCAGGTGCAGTGTTTCCGGAGAAAGAAGAAAGCAAAGAGAAAAGAAAGCAGAGAAGCCCTGGTTGGCTGGCACCGACGGAAGTCAACTCCAAATAAATATTTGGCACAAGGAAAATCTGAAGAGGAAATCCTGCAGCACTCGCGGTACAAACAACGTCGTGATTTATTATCACATCATGCAGACCGTGACTAATGCACTCAAATAATCAAGGTGCATCTAGTGAACTACAATGCCCAGGGGTGCTCTCTGCCGCTGACTTCAAAAAGCATCCCTAAGCGAAGCGCACACATATTAAGAGCCCCCTGCGCCGCATGCAGGCTCAACAAACATTCCACAAGTACCCGAGCGCACACGCGCTGGGAGGAGGAGGAGGAAGAGGCGGAGGAGGAGGAGGAGGAGGAGGAGGAAGAGAGGAGGCCGTGGACATTCCCACGGGGGAAGTTTGTTTCAGTCAGCAGCCACTGGGATGTGATTTTATTAGCTCCAGATGCTGCTGAAGAGAGGAACTAGAAACGCTCGATATGACGAGCGGGACACATCAGAAATGATGCTGCCCATCTGGAGCACAAATAATGTAATCAGCTCGGGTCACCGGCCATCATCGTCTGGCCCGTCGGGTAAAACCCACCATCCTGTGTGACGTCAGCGCTTGCGGGGTGACAGGCTGGAGTGGGCCGGCATATCCCCCCCCCCGACCCCAGCCCCCCTGCCCCCCCCCCCCCCCCCCCCCCCCCCCCCCGAAGCTGCCGCACAACGAACGGAAGATATTTGGGAGAAGAGGAAGATGAAATGTGAGGGACTGTCTATTGTAATCTGAGCTCTGGTTCCCAAAAAAATATCTCGACTCCCTCCCCTGTCTGTCAAATCAGTTTACTGCATCGTACTTTGAATGTCTTCATAGGAAGCGCCCACACAGCTCGGACCACAAACACATGCATTGCTGTACTGTATGTCCCCCCCACACACATGTGCACACACACAAACACACACACACACAGAAACTCTATTTGCACAGCCTTTAAATATTCAGTACCTGCCGCGTTTTCTGTACGACTTTGATCAGCCACAGATTCTACTCTGTCCCTTTCATCTCTGAACTTCAAACCCAGCATATGAAAAAAAAAAAAAACCTGGACCACTAAACCTGTTCTGGTTCAGACAATCTCTGCTCACCCAGCTGCTCTCTGCCTTTCTATAAAAAACAAGCAGGAAGTTCTTCCAATGATGACACAAAATGAATGAATGGGGATTAACCTACTCTTTACAAATGGACTCTTCTTTTCTTTTGTGATTGCTCAAACATCCCCTTGATAAGCACACGTCCCTTGTTTGTAATTTAAAAAAAGCACATGTGCGCAGAGGAGTGATGATTGCGGAATATAAAAAAAGCACATGTGCGCAGAGGAGTGATGATTGCGGAATATTCGCTGGCTGGTTTGACAACTTCACAGCTCCCTCCAGGCACATTACCCCGGGCTTACGTTGAGCCAGTGCACTGACTAAACCATGGACACAGAAACTTCCCCAAAGCACTAAATTCAATTTTCAGGATCGCATAGATCCTCCATCCCCATCCTCACAATGTCAATAACCTGCATCTTTTGAGCAAAGACGCAGAGTTAATTATCTCATAGCCCCACCTGCATTATTCAGCAATGCCATTAAATATTCACAGCCACATCACTGATATCATCTTGTATCGTCAATAACGCTAGAGGACATGTTTTAGAAAACTTGAGTCAACTCCGAGGTTGCCCCCCCCCCCCTAAAAAAAACCCAACAACAACCAAGGCCTTTCAGCCTGATCTGTAACACTAAGCACACAAATAGGCAGCAGGGCATCACAGTGCCACTGCAGGCAGCCACAGATAGACCATCACGCGCCGTTATCAGAGCATGCCGTCCCACTTGCATCGATTCGCATCCCGCGGATTTGCCACTGGCTGCAGCGAGACCGGAGGAGAGGAGAGGGGGAGATGAGGAAGAACAATAAAACACATCCAGCGACAACATTCAAAGCGTGCGTTCAAAAGAAAAAAAATTGGGAGGGGGGGGCACGTTCACGCAGTGTCAAAATAAGGTGCGTTTTTGGAGCCCGGGCCCGCATGCTCGCATCACTTTTTTGCGGGGCAGAAACGTACTGCGTCGTGCACGACCTGAACCGGAGGGGGGGTACATTTTCGTTTTCTGCATCGACACATGAATGAGAAATTACGCACGGAGTCATCCAACAAAATGCAAAAGTTGATGAACCCCGCTGGCAATCGATTGACCCCCCCAACCCCACCCGCAATAAGTTGAATGAATGCTGCGGAGATGAATGTATATAACTTCCGATTGATACTAATTCAAAGCCCGGAGCTCCTACCAATCATTAGTGTTATTGACTTTGCTCCACTGCCAATTTAATTAGAGTACACAAGAGGAGACGCAGCTCTTACATAAGCAACTATTTCGCATTGGTCATTTGCGCGTGTGAGCAACCCAGAATAACCCGACTCGGACATTTCAAAAAACGCTGCAGAGCAAAGTGCTCTGCTCTCTCTCTCTGTTCGAGCGGCGAACGTCTTACAAACGAGACACATTTTTATTCAAAGCGGATAGAAGTTGCGAACAAAGATCCCGCTCACCTGATAATGAAGTTTATTCTAGGAGGAGATTTTTCATTTTTTCCTTCCCGGGGTTGTGGAGGCGCGCGTCGGAGCCCAAGAGTGTGTATCCGTTCACTGCAGTTTTTGTTGCCCGTTGGTCCACCTCAACTGCGCGTCTCAGTCGCGCTGCATCACTTCTCGCTGTGGATGTCAGGGAGGCTGAAAGGCTGAGGGGACTCAACCCTCCCATTGGCTGCCATTCACGAGTCCCCCAGCAGAGCACGGCGTGGAAAAAAAAGAAAAAGAGAAGGGGAGGAAAAAGAACAAAAACACACACACACACACACAAACACACACACACACACACACAAACACACGCACACACACACACACACACACGCGACCGATACAAACAAAAGGAAGGTGGAGGCTGCGTTTCAACTGCGTGCGATGTTCAAGTTTAATACAAGAGTCAAGTGTGTGTTTTTTCTTTGTGCACGTGCTTCCTTGACATTTGCATAATCCGTGATTAATAGTTGCAAAGTCAGAGGTTGAGTGTGGGTTTGAACCGAGCGATAAACGGTTATTTTCGTAAACGCCTCCAGTTAGGCTGCCTGCTGTCCTGAAGCCTAAAACCTTGGAAGCCATGGCTCATGTATGATTATACAATGGCTAATTAAATGTAGCTCTGTATGAAGAAAAACAATAAAAAAGCACCAGCAATAATACCAATGCAAATTAGCTTGTGTTTCATTTGACCATGTTACTGCTGTTACGGGATCACGGCACTCTCATAGTGACATTTTTACATTTTAATTGTGTTTGCAAAGTTAGCGAGGTTGCATTTGAATAATAACAGTTGAGTTGATGAACTACATAAATAAATCTGCTGCAGCAATGAATTATGTATTTACTATTAGGCCTACCTCACCTTTTATGTCAATAACAGCACATGCTATGGTGCAAACTGGTTTCATAAACCTACGAAAAGTGATCCACCATAATTCATATATAATCCATGGAAATAATTTGCAAATGTAACCCACTTTAGCATGAGTCAGGGAGGGTGACATAGCGTATGTCTACATCAGGGACGACATTGGGGTGGATTGCGAAAACTAAAAGCACCAAACTTTCACCCAGCAGACCACAGTTCGTGTCCCGTGTGAAACCACGAGTCAACATTGACTTATTTGTCATGTAATGCCACTTCCACAGTTATTTGAACCCAAACGTTGACTTATCTCTTATATAACAACCACACCCTCAAAGCGTCACTTCCATCGTTATTTTAATTCAAACCAATATCTGTTCCGAAACCTAACCATGTAGTTATGTAGCGTAAACGCCACAGGGGCTCCCGCAGGCGGACTGGCTGCTGGTGTAGCCGAACATTTGGAGGGAAACGCATGTAGAATAACAAAACATATTTTTGTTATAGACTCAGCATGTGACTGACACATCCTGCTTGATCTTGCCTACTAATCCCCTCTGACATGAACTACTAATGCCACTTGCTACTGCAAGGACTACAACTACTTCTGTTATAATTCACAGCATTTGCACACAATTATAAAATACAGTTGCCAGTTCGTCAGCTTTCTAAAACTGATGCAGTTCTGCTACCAATCATTTAGCTTTTAGTTAGACTCTTATTTTGAAAGTACAGTTGCTCTCCTGTTTCTACAGTCCTGATTTGTAAGACCTTCCCTGCCTTGTGAGTGAATGAACATGTCCTACATGTTCTGTTGATGTTTGGAGCTGCTAACTGTGTCAGATTCTGTTTGGAGAAGGTAATCCTGGAATCTGATTACCGACCAAGCCTGTAAACGGAGGGGTTTTAGAGTAATCAAACTAATGCAGCTTTTAAAATGCTTTATCCAGAGCCCCGCCTAGACCAGATTACACACTGTAATCTGTTATATTTTATCCATACGAGTACATGTAATACGTTCTTGTACTTGCTGTTAGCGTTACTATGCCTGAGGATAAGTCAGCACGCTGTCTCGTGTTAATGATGTTGATGTTAGCGGGGAAATTGTTTCATCAGAATCCTAATTTAAAGCGACTAGTTGGTAACTATAAAAATAACTTTTGGCCACAGTTGCTCAAACTGTCACTATATCCTGACGTGGTACACACGAGAGATAAACGGTGAAATAATCAGGTTCCTCTACTTCCTTTTATCGCTCCGAATGCTTTGACATGATTCCACCACGCTTAAAGAAGAACAACCAATCAGAGCCAAGGAGGCTCTAACGCAGCTGTCAATCACTGCTGGTGAACTCAAATTTCAAATATGAATCAAGATTCTGGTGCTGCATTTCCCATTTTTTCGCCTCAAATGTTTTCAGAGACATATTTCAGTGTTTAGCTGTAAAGTAAGAAGGTTCGCTCCGGTCGGTGGGCGGTGCTTTCGGTTGGTTGTGGCTCCACTGTTTTCAACATGGCGGCCGGATCTCAAACTGTACAGTGCAGTAACAGACTCTCGTTTCATAATCGATCTGCGCTGCTTTGTTTGACAGATTGATCAGAGCGTCAGAAACAGTTATTGACAGCCGCGTTAGAGATTGCTTGGCTCTGATTGGCTGTTTTCTTCAGGTGCGTTTGAATCTCGCAAATGCCGCATAGTTCACCTAAAGGCACGTGTTGTTTTCAAACACGGACAAGGGTTGTATGATTACCATCACATGTTCTGCCAACACCAGCATAATAATGCACATAAACGCGAGTTACATGAGTTACATTATTTTTACCAACTGCAGAGGGCGTTCATATCAGCAGACTGCAGCAAAGCTCACAGCAACACAAAGAAGAGAAGGAGCTGTAAACTAAAGGTGTTCCAAATGGTTTAAGGTAACAGATGTAATGCTTTAAAGATACTTGTGATGTAATCTGGTGGATTGCATTTAATGTAAATAAAAAATATGTTGTTTACAATCTGAATTAAGTACGTTACCACAAAGCTAATCTTAATTATCATAATTATTATGTGTGTTTTGAATGGACGCAGGAACCACAGTCAGTCTCATAATTAAGATATGATGTTGCAGAAGCAGTTCAGTGTTATTTTAAGACGATGAGATAATTAAAATATAATCACAAGTAAACAAAGTGTGATTTTTTTTCTCTTAGATGAGGGGATAGTTAAGTTGTCGATCATGATGTCGAAGATAAAATAAAAATAAAAAAATCTCCATTCGCTGCTCTGCGCTTCCATATTACCTTGCAAACGCTGTAATATGATTTTCTTTATGGACCTAACAAATGAAGGCTTTTAGGTATTGGACATAAAAACGTGTCTTTTATTTATCATTTGTATCTCGTCATTTTCAAAACACAGCGTTCCAGAGACATCAGCCACTAAACATCTGTCACATCTAATAAACATTTAGTGCACATAAAAATGTGCAATATGAAGATGGAAGGAAAGTGTGCAGGTGTTAATGGGTTCATGGTTTCAAGTTTGTATTCCCTTTTTTTTTTTCCCCGAAACCAAAGACCCCACGCTGTGCACGCCTTCCCACCCATGCAGTGTTTGTGTCATGATGACCACTGGCTGCTGTTAGATTCATGAGTTTAATCCCTGGAAGCGCTCCAAGCATCCACTTTGCTGCTGCCCTGTCCTCTCAACCAAACATCAAACTCTTGCCTATAGCGCAAAATGCAGTGAGCCAAAGGGATGTCTGCATTTGGCATCATGTTCTATCAGGAGATCAGCCCGAGACGAACAACCGCTGCCCTTGACTGCATCATTGCTACTGAATGAGCTTACGTTGCCTTGTGCAGTTTATTTAACAGCCTGCCGCCATAAACACGTCACATCAACAGTGGAAGCGGTCTGCAAAAAACAATTTTGTCACATAATATGTCATATCGACTTTTAAAATAGTATTGAGACATGCAGATCCGAAGAATATATGTCGTGCTTTTTGTATCTTTTACACATTTTATTATATTAACATAAAAAAAGATTATCCAGGCAACGATTTTCAATATTTTCCTCTACAATGTGTGGGAGCGTTCTTATTAAGGACTTCTTCATGTTAAAATAGCAAGCCTAGATATTCATGCTCATGCATTATGTGTTACTTTACAGATAAATGACAGTTGTGGGGCATGGAGTTAGACAGGGGATGTTGAGGGCGACCTCAGTACAGATTTGTACTCCTATAACGCCTGACAGCTCAGATACTTCAGGATTTGTCAGAGAAAGGAATTGTTCAAAGTATCACATCCGAAAAACCCAACCTCATTTGTTGCCGATACACAGGCTTCTGTGTTTATAGACGTCCATATTTCGTGAATCTGTCTCACCTTGCCAGCATCTGTATCAGTACGACAACAGCTCTAAGACCATTGGGTCCTACTGAACCAAGAGGTCATCTTTAAAAGTCAGCTCACAAATACATAGTTTCATCTTCACAAATGTCTCAGCAGTTGCCTAAAACAGCTGGGCACCGTAGGTTTTACCAAACTTTACTCAAACTTGAGTAAATAGTCTATTTGTGAGGGACTATTTTCAGTTGCGCATTCATACACATTTGGTGCTCTCGTGGGTTTTTACCGCACCAGGACACTGCCCATGTCCATGATAATGAAGAAAGATGTCACCCAGGGCCACAGTGTGACCCATTAATGAGTTTTAATAGTTTTTAGACAATGATGGAGGGATGAGCTCCCTCTCTCAACCTTTGGATACACAAGCTATAGTTGTTAATATCATTTAGGTTGTGGTGCTTTTGCTTTATAATACAATTAAAGATGTATTTATCACTATGGAGAGTCATTATTAATGATTAAGCGGACTTATTTTATTATGTGTTTGATTTTCTGGGTGAGACTTGGAGCTCTGCCAGAACCCCCCAAAAGGAAATCAATAGGTCTTCTTTTAGACACACAGAGTCCTATAAACAATCCCAGAAAAAGATCAATACGCTACAGGAAAGTGAGCAAGGGAGCACAGAGGAGTCAGGCGCCCAAGAACCCCGTATCACAGACATCATAGTCTTTTTTTTTTGCAGAAGAATATCAGATACACTGTTGTTCTGTGAGGCAAAGATAAGTTTTTATCAACATAGTTTCCCAACTCCCAAGAGAAATAAAAACACAGCAAAATGTTTGGTTCTTTCAACTCGGAGGGCTCTGTGGCATAAATATTCACTAAGTCACGAATAATGCTGCGTCTCATGCATAAACTGGAACTCTGCCTAAAGTCGACCATATTTCTTCTGTCATTTTCCGGCTGGGAGACAGCGACGCTCAACACAAGGATGCAATTCTGTCACAAGCTTGTTTACGACAGATACAGCGCATTGTGTAATTATCTTCGGAGGCATTTCTTGAATCGGCGCACTGTTTCCAGTAGCT